AACAAATGTTCTGGAAAGTTCATAGGCTCCTGGTCTCCCAATGCACTCCCACAGTGGGGAGAAGCCAGGCACCTGCTTGGAAAGCCATGTGCAAACTCTGGGTCTGCTCTGCCAAAGTAAACATCCCTGCCTAGCCCCTGCCCCAGAATTTAGGCTCAGCAGGGTCTCTGTCTTCCCACTTAGAGGCCTGCTGACCAGATGTGGGCTTGGGTGATGGCCGGAGGGTCCAGGGGGCCCATTAATCTGCAATTAGGACTATACATGCCCCCACCTGCCCCTCCTGCTTCCTCTTGACAAGTCCACAGCTGAAAAGCACTTTTAGAGGAAATGGATCCCTCAGTTGTCTCTAAGACGTGTCACTTTGGAAATCATCGCTCTGGAGTCATTAGCTCTACTCCTGCCTGAGCAGTAGAAGTGTAGGTTTGGTGATAGTTATTCTTGCTGTGTATTCTATTGCAAAAAAATCTTGAAACAACAAAACTATAACAAAGAGATACTTAGAGGGCACTACATGAAAGAAAAGCCCAAAGCCACAGGGACTGCCTGCCCCACCCATAAAGCAGGCTCACCCAGCACTGCCTTGATGTCCTGAAATCAGAACTGGGCTGTGGTCCCTGCTCAGCTGAAGCTGCCCCTGAGTCCATAACAGTATCTAACAGGGACCGAGAAGATGACAGTAAGACTAAGGATGGCAGTAAAAAGCAGCACTGTCTAAAGCTGGCTGCGTAGAACTAAGGAAAGGCCCTGGGGTTCAAATGTTAGTGACCCTCACCAAACTCCCTTCACCTCCAAACACTCCTTAGTACTGATTCTACACTGTCCAGGTTTGCCCATCTACTCTGCCAGGCGACAAAGTCATCCTCCAGTTACGCTGTGCATTGGAAAAACTTTGATGAAACTGCTGCAATTGATTCCATGCAGGTGGGGTGGGATATGCCATCCTGCACTTATCCCCTTCCCACCCCACATGCATATTAAACTAAAGAAATAATGAAATTATAAAATGCTTCAATGGAGAAAATATGGGGGGAGTGCTCAATGGACAAGAGACTTCAAACAATTTGATGATGGAGGACTGACTGGCACATATAGAAGAAGCCATAGCCTAGAAGAGACCGGTGGCAAGAGAGTAGGAGCTGAGAGGCAGCAGGTCTTCAAGACAGAACCCAACAGGGACTTAAGATTTGAAATTCTAAGCATCAAGGAGGGTGAAGTGACAAATGGTGAACTACACAAGGGAATCACTAGCAATGGATACATCTTCCTCTGCCTCCCATCACTGGTTGGCCCAAAAGCATGAAGCCAGACCATTAAAGAAAGCTTATCTTCAAAAAGAGAAAATGATGCAAAAACAATAGAATGGAGAGTTCTTGAAGCTATTCTGAGTGCTATCATAAAGTTTAATTAGGAGAGGAGTTGGGAAACAAGTTCTTGATCCCCTAAAACTGAGGGCAAAATACCAGGATCTTCAACCTGGAGGTGGGCCCACTATACTCTGAGCCACAGAATAAACTCTGCTCTAACTTCTTAGCCTGCTCACCTGGTGGCAGACCTGCCCACAGCCTGCAGTAAGCCGACATCACCATCCCATGAGGGATCTCACACCCAAGCAGATACCACATCCCCTAAACCAGCAGACCACTTCCAGCCATCCCAAGGCTTCCGCACCAGTAAAGTCCACCATCTCCTGCCACTCAGCCTCACTTGGAGACTGCTTTCCTCTGACAGAGTTTGCCATCTTTCAGCTCTGAAAGCTCTACCCAATTTTCCTCCCCAGAACATCATCCCCAAGAACCTCCTGAATTCTGTACTAGTGAATATTTTCTTCACAGTCATAAACCTTTTCTATCTTTGATCACTAATAATGTTTTTTTTTTAGCATACCTATGCTTCAGGAACCCTAGGTTACATAAGTGAATGAGCTCCCACTTCATGCTCACAAGTGAAAAATATATAGTAAAAATAAGTATGGACATAGTTTTAAGAGAAAACAATGTGTATAAAGCCTTCTATCACCAGGATTTGAAGAGGATTCTATGAGGTATTAGAACATTGTGCACACGCACACGTGTACACACACACACACACACACACACACATGCTTTAATAGCAGAATATTTTTCCAACAAACTCAACATGGACATACAAATTAAGAAGAAGCTGCTCTGATCAGAGCAGGAAGGAAAAACCATCTGCTCAGCTCTTTTTTCCCTCTTTCTAAAACCAAATTTCCAAGGAGAGCAGTTAGCAGCTCTAACTCAAAACAACTAAAAAGTAACTTAGCAATATGGGAAAAAGTATTTCACTTTGTAAAATGTACAAAATAAAAAACCTGAGCAGGACCTCTTACCTGCACATTTGTATATACTAACCAAAGAAATCCTAAGTAGATTCCACCAGTCAGAACTCAGCAATCTTCACCCCAACCTGCACTTTGTGAGTATTAACCATGAGCCAAGATTAACTGATCCATGTATAATCTATCAATCCAAACAACAAAACTGTGTGACCAATACTGCCATTATCCATATTTCCACATGTTAAATAATGTGACTCAGTCAAGGACAAGAGGCAATCCCAGGTCGCTGGACTCCAGAGACCATGTATGCCTTTAGTACTATGTTGCACTAGTCTCCATAATAGCTATTTATATTCTTCTTTATTATATGTTTTCTGAATTTTTTACTTGTATCAACCACTTTCATAATATTAAGGATATTTTAATTCAGAAGCAAAAAAATGGGGGTTTAGTTTTTAATGCCAAGGGAAGGAGGCAAGGCAAGAATGCCCTGGGTGGCTCATCCCACCTATAGTCACCATGGAGGTGACCAGCAAGTCTTTCCCAAAATATCACAAAGACAGGGCTCACAGGAAATCCTTCTTTCCAACAGGGCTCTGCATGTCTTAGCCAAGTCAATCCCACTCTTCAGCTTCTTCCCTAACAGAAATATTAGAAAAGCTTATTATTCTTGATTTTACCAAACACTGATACATACCTATACTGAGAAGGAAGAGAATAAAGGAGAGTGAACAAGAATTAAAAATCCTAATCTACCAAAGCAGAACATGTCTAAAATTGATGAATCAGCAAGTAGCCATATATGCATAATTTTTAGGAACATGAAGGAAAGTATTAGCAAAAACAGATAAAACAAAAATTTAAAATTGTTCTCTCTGGGGAAGTAATCATCACAAAGGGTGGAGGAGCTGGCACATAAAGATTATTGCATTTGCAAAAGCTTTTTGGCACTATTAGGCTTTCCAAATCAAGCCTAATATTTCTCTGATTTAAAAAAAATTATGAAAAAAAAATAGCAAAACCTACCTTCATTGGTGTTCTCCATCTGCTTAGTGGACTCTGGTAAGCTTGGCTGCAAGGTTTGGCATGGTTTGTGGAGCCAGAAGCTATCTGAGAGACAGAAGATGGCAGGTGTCTGCACCATCAGAAAGCAGATATGATGGAGTCAGAAGACTTGGATTCCAATGTTGGGTCTGCCACTCTGAGTTCTATGGCCTTAGAGAAGGTGTTTGACCACTCTGAGCCTCCCTATCCCATAAGGACAGGTATCTAGATCCCATATAACCAAGGGTTAGGGTTAAATTATGTAGATCTCAACCCAGGGATGCAAACGAAGCTCATGGTGAAGATACAAGAAGTGGGGACTTGTATAGCCTAGGCCATGTAGGAGGGAGCTATGGACAGACTGAGCCCCAGGTTCCCCAACCAAGAACTAGACCCTGAGAGGAAACCCAAGTCTCTAAAGTTTGGCTGAAATCTCACCTTCTCCACACTGTTCCCAAGTTCCCTAGTACCATAATTTTAGGATTCTACGAATTCAAGAGAGATTAAGTGTGCCAGGTGTTGGTTTGTGTCCCTCTGTGTTGTGTGAGCTTCTTCCCAACCCATAAATCCATCTGACCCTAGCAAGGAGTCCCCTTGAGCAATTTCCTTCCTCAATTCTGCTCAACAAAAATCCAAATTACTTGGCCTTGAAATCAAATTTGGGAAAACCTGGGACCGGAGAACGAAATCTCCAAGTCAAGGCCTGGTCATCGCTATGTTAAGCTTTGTCACAGATCTAATCACAGCTGTCATTTTAGAATAAGCAGGCTTGGAATTCCTAGAAAGAAGTACAGCTTGGGGCAATCTGTTCCAGGCTCTAAGCATCTAGAAGAGCCCACAGCTTCTGTTCATAGCCCAGGGGCGAGTTCCCACCTGCCTGATTGCTCAGGGTTCTTGTTTTTTCTCCTGCCCCTGGAATTAAAGCCTGCATTGGTTTGGGGATAGGAAGAGGTTTGGCAGGTCCATGAACACAGGTCCTGTGACTCCCTCTATATCCATGACTAAAGAGACCAGACCTGCAACCCATCAGATAGCACTATTCTTGCTCATATGTCAGGGAGGAAAGAGGTAGAAAGATGCCTGTGAAGCGACCCTGGGCAGAGAGGACTCAAAACAAGACAACAGACTAGGCCTATGGAAGCCCCACCAGTACTGGGAAATCTCAGGTAGTGTAGTATAAAATCTCCCCAAAGATCCCAAGGAATACAGACTGTTCTCTGCATGGACAACCCAGGAGGGTGAACACATGACCTACAGATACATTCCCCCCAAAATAAAATTTATTCTTTGACATTTCAGACTTGACAAGGATTGATCATTATGTCAATTCATACAATGATTAAAATAATAAACTACATCTGGAGTCAGAGAAAAACCTGAGACCACCTTTGATTCCATGAGTACAAGGTAAGGGACCTGAGGGGTGGGGGGGGAGACGGTAAAGGGAGCATTAAGAGAGGATAGTTAGTGATTAAATGTCATTTTCCTTGAGTCAGTGATTCTCAATTTATTCAAGTGTCCTGAAGTAGGTTTTTGTTCTGTTTTTCTTTCTTTTTTTTCCCCCCATTTTGGGGAATTTGGTTTTTGTCCAAGGAATAATTCTCAATAGTTTGCTTTTAAAAGTATTGTGCAATTTCTAAATAAATTTTTTTCAAAATCAGGCTGACACTGCCAAATCCATCTGGTTAGGGTTTTCTGCATCACCTCCAGAAAGATAGCTGCTCCTCCGAGAGCCTGGCCTAGAAACTGGCCTATACAACCTGTGCCCCAGAGCATCCACCTCCTCAAAGATGTAACCAGGGGGCTCAGGGTATGCAGCTGGGCACTTGCACATTTCCTTGGGAGTGAAGCTGATGGAATAGGTGGTCTGGCCCTCCAAAGGAATATTTGCTCGAGGGCCAGACCAAGGGGGCTTACAGCTTTTGGTACTGATAGGTGGATGGGGCACATAGTGGGCCCGAAAGGTGGTCAGACAGTCCAAGGGCTCTGTGGGAAAGCCCAGGTGGGGGATGGGCTTGGCCATTTCTGTGCGTTTGCTGTCCCACTGCTTATAGTCGTCCTTGGTGGTAGTAGAGCCTTCGAAACGGAAGCTCTTCTTAATCGGGAGCACTGGTCGGCAGGACTGAGCAGGGGCACCCTTAGGGTCTGTGTAATGGGCTTGTACTGTTGTCAGAAGATCCATCTTCTCTTCAGGAGGGACAAAAGCAACTGGAGCTTTGGAGAATAACTGGGGCGTTGGCCAAGCTTGGTACTTATCTCGAAACTCGGTGGTGTTCAAGAATGGTGTGTCTGTCCCCGGTAGCCTGGCTGGAGGCTTCGAGCTCTTGGCAGGCTCCCCTAGTAGGCCTCGGTAGGACTCTTTGTGTGTGGTGAGGCTCTCGAAGGGGATTTCACAGGGTCTAAACTTCTCTGCCTCGTGCACAAAGCACTTCTCCACAGGGTGTGCCACATAGCTCATCTTGTAGTTGGTCAGGTCCTCCAAGGGGATGTTACAAAGGTTGGGCATGGCTGGGGGTTTACAGCTCCTGGTGGTCACGAGGCCCTTCATGGAGTAGTCATCCTGGTGTGTGGTTCTGCTGTCAAATTTGGTGGATTCCAGCCAGCGTTTGTGTTCTGGACGAAGTAGCTCCCGTCTTGGTTGGTTCCAAGGTAAATAATCAGCTGAAATTAAAGCAGAAGAGGTAATTAATAATAAATCAGGTCCCCCAACTTGCATGTAGTCTAAAAGGCCTCAAAGTGATAAGCCCATTTCCAAAGAGGTATTTTCTCAGACAAGACAGTCAGAGCTGGAGAGGTAGCTCAGTGGTAGAGCACCTGACTAAGCACTTGACTAGCAAGCAAGTTGGTTCAGTCCCCAGTACTGCAAAAAATAGAAAGTCTTCATAACATCCCTAATAAATGGGCACTAACAAAATACCTATTTTATAGATGCAGAAATTGAGGCACAGAGGAATTAAAGAATTTGTCCCAGTTCACTTAGCTAGAAATTTAAAATCACAGATTAAAATCCAGATCCAGAACCCATCCTCTGACCCACTCCAACCTGATTTAACAAAGAACGCTGACTATGAGCCAGTCCAGTGTGTTCCAGCCTTTCCAAATGTGATTTTTGTTTCGTCTTCACAATAACCCTTTATACTGAGTATGATTGTCCCCACTTTACTGATTTCCAAAAGCAAAGCTCAGAGAAGCTGAGAAACTTGCCAAAAAGTCACATGGCTAATGAGTTAAAAATTGGAATTTTAAAAATTGTCAAACCTCTCTGGCATTAAGGAAATGCAAATCAAAAATATACTGAGAGTTAGGTTATCTCACTCCACTAAGAATACACAACAATAAATGCTGGTGAAGGTTCAGGGAGAAGGGAACTCTCATGTACTGTTGGTGGGAATGTAAATCAGTACAGCCACTGTGGAATTATAAGTATAGAGGTTCCTCAAAAGACTTGGAATGGGGGGCTGGGGTTGTGGCTCAGGGATAGAGCACTTGCCTAGCATGTGTGAGGAACTGGATTTGATTCTCAGCACCGCATTGAAATAAATAAAGGTCCATTCACAACCAAAAATTTTTTTAAAAGACCTGGAATGGAACTACCATGTGATCCAGCCCTACCACTCCTTGGTATCTGTCCAAAAGAATTAAGATTAGCATACTACAAAGATACACACATGCCCATGTTTGTAGCAGCACAATTCACAATAGCCAAGCCATAAAATCAATTTAGGTGTTCAACAAAAGGTAAATGGATAAAGAAAATATGAGATATGTATATATGGAGACTTATTCAGCCATAAAGAATGAAATTGTGTCATTTGCAGAAAAATGGATACAAATGGGAGCGTCATGGTAAGCAAAATAAGCCAAACTCATAAAATCAAAGGTCATATGATTTCTTTCATATGTGGTAGCTAGAGCCAGGAAAAGGAGAGGAAGGGGGGATTCTCATGTAAATAGCAGAGAGATCAGTAAAGTAGAAGAGGAGAACCAGGAGAGGGAGAGGAGAGGAAGGAAAGGGAAGGTACTGGGGAATGAAATTGATCAAATTATTACTATATGCATATACAAATATGTCACAATGACAGTCACTATTCTATACAATTATTACACAACAAAAACCAAAAAAAAGGAATTTAAGCCGTACACTTGACTCCAAACTCATGCTCTTCTGACAGCCTACATCAAGTTAGGGGCACCATATTTCTAAGTAAAAATTAAGAAACTAATAATCAGGGAAGGTTTGCAGGAGAATTTCAAAATGTTTGTTTTTTTTGTTTTTAATGGGAAAGATTATCCAGCTATACTAGGAGATATCCATCTCAAGAAAAACCTCTGCTGTGGGGCTATAATGGCCAAAATAAAGGAGGCCTGGACCCAAAGAAAATCCAGTGAGAAATGGCCACACAATCTTGAGAAGGAGACACTGTCCTCGAGCATCTCTGCAGGGGATTAAAATGACTTTATCACATAGACCTTCAGGGCTGCTCCAGGACTAAAAGTCCAGGTGAGAAAAATCCAATAGTAGGCACTCAATTCAACCACCTCCACTCTTGCTGCCTTTCTTTTCATAATATTTGGCTCACAGCCATGGCCTACATTGCCCCATTTTGCTCATAAATTACCAGGCCTGAGGTAGCCCATGTGAACCTGGTGAGCCCTCTGAATCCACAGGGAATCCTCTTACAGCTTTACAAAGGTTTAGAACAAATGCAGCTACCCAGGAGCATTGGATGTATACAGTTAATGGTAGTGAAGTCCACAGGTATATTTTCAACAACTTTATTGAGAATAATTTGCATAACATAAAATATACCATCTAAGAAACCTTTTCCTAACCCAAGATATTAGAGATTTTCTGTTTTAACTGTTACATGTAGGTCTTTGGTCCTTCTGTTTCCTCCCCATCCCCCAGTAGTGGGGATGGACCCTTGGGCATGATGAATGCTAGACAAGTACAGCACCACTAAGCAAAATCCTAGCCCTTGACCCTTTAATTTTTGAGTATGGCATGATATAAAGGTCTAAAGTTCATCTTTTTGCATGTGGATCTCTGTCTCATCATTTATCTAAAAAGAGTATCCTCTTCCATACTGAAATGCCCAGTCATTGTTGAGAAAAAATGACAATAAATTTGAGGGTTTATTTGTGTATTCTCAACCCAGTCATATTGTCATTTACACCTGTCTTTATGTCAGTATCACATTGTCTTAATTACTGCAGCTTTATAGTGAAGCTTTAAAATTGGGAAGAATAAGTTCTTCAACTTCATTTTTATTTTCCAAAAACATTTATTTAAATTTTATATATAAAGTATAGAATTACCTTGCCAATTTCTTTTTTATAAAAAGAGGCTCCTGGTATTTTGATAGGGATTGCTTTGAATCTATAGATCAATTTTGAAGAAACTCCATTTGAACAATATTGAATCCTCCCATTCCATGAATACAGAATGTTTCACCCCTTACTTAGATTTTATTTTTCTCTGCACTCTGGTAATTTTCATAGTACAAATCTTGCATTGATTTTTTTTACTTATCTTTTTTCACATTTTATTTGTTCTAATTTGTTATACATGACAGTACAATACATTTTGACACATAATACATATATGGAGTATAACTTCTCATTCTTCTGGTTATACATGATGTAGAATCACATTGGTCTCATAGTCATACATGTACGTAGGATAATAACGTCTAATTCATTCTACAATTCTTCCTACCTCCATACCGCCCCCCTTCACTCTCCTCTGCCTGATCCAAAGTACCTCTATTCTTCCCTAGCCTTCCCCCTTATTGTGAATTAGTATCCACATATCAGAGAAAAAAATCAGCCTTTGGTTTTCTGGGATTAACTTATTTCACTTAGCATGATATTCTCCAGCTCCAACCATTTACCTGCAAATGCCATAATTTCACTCTTCTTTAAGGCTGAGTAATATTCCATTGTGTATTATACCACATTTTCTTTATCCATTCATCTGTTGAAGGGCATCTAGGTTGACTCCATAGTTTAGCTACTGTGAATCAAGTTGCTATGAACATTGATGTGACTGTGTCACTGTAGTATGCTGATTTTAAGTCCTTTGGATATAAACTGAGGAGTGCAATAGCTGGGTCAATAAATAAACAGGCTAAGGAACTGAACAGACACTTCACAGTAGAAATACAAATGGTAAAAAAAAATATGTGAAAAAGTGTTCAACATCCTAGCAATTAGAAATGCAAATTAAAATTATATTGAGATTTCATTTCACTCCAGTTAGAATGGCAACAATCAAGAGTACCAATCAAGAATACAAGTAACAGGGCTAGGGTTGTGGCTCAGCGGTAGAGTGCTTGTCTAGTATATGGGAGGCACTGAGTTCAGTCCTCAACACCACATAAAAATAAACAAATGTCCAACTACAACTAAAAAAAATACAAGTAATAATAAATGTTGGCAAGGATGTGGGGAAAGGGTATAATCATACATGGCTGGTGGGACTGCAAATTGGTGCAACCACCCTGGAAAGTAGTACAGAGATTCCTTAGAAAACTTGGAATGGAACTACCATTTGATCCAGTCATCCTATTTCTTGGTATATACCCAAAAGACTTAAAAATCAACATACTATAGTTATAAAGTCACATTAATGTTTATAACAGTTCAATTCACAATAGCTAAGCTATGGAACCAACGTAGGTACCCTTCAACAGACGAATGGACAAAGAAACTGTTCCATAGAATATTACTCAGCCATAGAAAAAAGAATAACTTAATGACATTTGCCAGAAAATAGATGAATCTGGAGACTATCATGCTAAGCAAAATAAGCCAATCCCAAAAAAAACCAAAGGTCAAATGTTCTCTTGATATGTGAATGCTAACACAAAAAAATGGGTGAGAGGAGAGGAATGGAGGTCCATGGGTTGGGTGGGATGGGGAGAATGGGAGGAGAAGTAGGGGAACAGGAATGGGGGGGGGGACAATGGAATTAATTTGACTTAACACTCCTATGTACATAAATACATCACAGTGAATCTCCACATCATGTACAACCACAAGACTGGGATCCTAATTAGAATAAGATATACTCCATGTTTGCATAAATATGTCAAAATATACTCTGTCAACCAAACAGAATTTAAAAATAAAAAGAATATCTTGTTAATGCTCTTCATCAGGCTAAGGAAGTTCTCTTCTATTCCTAGATTTTTGAGAGCTTTTATGGATATGAGATCTTGCCAAATATTTTCTATCAACCATCTGGCTTTTGTCTGTTACTTTATTAATATGATATATTACATTGATTATCTGATGTTATATCAACCTTGAATTCCTAAAACAAACCCCACAGCTTTAGTTTGCTCTATAATTGCTTTTTTAAATTAAAAATAAACATTTACCTAGTTACATTTACAAGCAACTTTCTTTGTGTAGATTTATTTTACTATCTGTATCATTTCCTTTCAACCCGAGGATTTCCCTTAGTATCTCTCATAAGGGAAATCAGCTTTCTTTTTCTGAAGGTATCTTTGTTTTGCCTCATTTTTGAAGCATAGTATCACTGGATATAAAATTCATGACCTATTTTCTTTTAGTAGTTCAAATAAGTCAACCAACTCTGTTCAGTCTTCCATTTTCTTTTTGAAGAGAATCTGTGACTCTTGATGTCCTTACCC